CTAGGCTCCGCCCGCGCAGGCTCCGCACGCTCAGGCTCCGCACGCTCAGGCTCAGCACCTCTAGCAGGACGCGAGTCGACAGCTACCTCGGCAGGCTCAACCGGGTCTACCTGAGAGACACCTGAGGGAGCGGCACCCTGAGGGGGAAGGGGGTCTACCACTGCAGCACCTGGCGCGAGGAAGAGAGGCGGGGGAGGGAGCGGGGCAGTGCGGTAGGGGAAGAGGCGGTAGAAGGGCACGGACTCGTCAAAAGTGACGTCCTGAGAGGGGAAGACGCGGTGCGAGGCGGGGTGGTAAAACTGCCAGCCAGACGCATCCGGGACAAAGCCAAGAAAGACACAGGGAGCAGTGCGGGAGGAGAGCTTGTCCGCAGACGTGTCGCGAACAAAAGCTCGGGATCCCCAGACACGGAAGCGTGACGCATCGCCAACCTCCCCCGTCCACAGCAGTGTGGGCGAGGTCTCCGGAGCGGAGACACGGGGCCAGAGGTTGAGCTGATGCGCAGCGTACCGGACCGCAAACGGCCACAGAAAGTGGGGGGCAGCCGCGTGGACTAAGGAGGTACGAGCGACCTCCATGATCAAGCCAATGCGGCGCTCAGCAACCCCATTCTGCTGTGGAGAGGCCGGAAGCGTGAACGACTGGTGAATGCCGTGCTCTGCACAGTAGGCTGCCAAGAGGTCGGAGGAGAACTCGCCACCTCTGTCAGAGTGCAAGCGCAGGACAGGAAACTCCGAGCGAAAACGCTCTCGCAGCTGAAGACGTGCTCTGCTGATCCAAGGGATCAGAACATCAGGGACTTCACCCTTGGTGCGCAAGGGGAAGACCGTGGTGTAGCGCGAGTAGTCGTCAACGACGATCAAGAAGTACCTCTCCTGGCCCTGACCACGGACGCGGGCTGGGCCCCACACGTCCATGTGGAGCGTCTGCAAAGGAGCAGTCGTCGGGGGGAACGAGGAGGAGTGAGGGGCAGCGCGCTGCCGCCCCTCGACACAGGGAAGACAAGGAGGAGCAAGGGAGGGTGGGAGGGGAGGGAGTACCCGAGGAAGGCCAGAGACAAGATACCGGGAGTGCATGCCCCGAAGGCGCTGCACTGACGGGTGACCAAGTCGGTGGTGCCAGAGGACAGTCTTGTGCGCTAGAGAGCGACACGAGCAGGGGGCAGACAGCTGACCTGACGCAGACGCAGACGCAGACGCCGCTACCTGAGGGGACTCAGTGGTCAGTGTGTACAGGTCCGACCCCGGCTGCCGAGTGAAGGTAGCCAGGTGACGGCCCGTCCGAGCACACGTGCAGTGTGTCACACGCTCGTAGGCAGGGGTGAACTGGTGAACACCCCCATCTTGAAGCGCACAACCCGCCACCAAGTTCGTAGAGAACGAGGGGAGGTGGAGACCTGACAGTGTGCCCGACGGGACAGCAGGACAAGGAAGGACAGTGGAGGAGGTCGCAATGACCGGACCCCCAGAGGGGTCAGCGAGCGAGACAGCGACTGGTCGAGCAAGGAGCTCAAGAGCAGTGCGGTCACGAAAGAAACAGCGCGAAGCGCCTGAGTCTAGAGTGAAGGTGTGCAGTGCCTCAGTGGACTCAGTAGTACCTGGGGTGGCGGACACACAAGCACCTAGAGCAGTAGCCTCACGAGCACCTGGGGCAGCAGACACGCAAGCACCTAGGGCTGCAGCCTCACTCGTGCGGATGCCTGGGTCAGACGGAACACACAGGTACTGGTCCTCCTCTCCACTAATAGTCAATGCATACATGGCTTTGAGAATAACATCAAAATCAAGAGCATAGATATCGATATCCTTCTTGAGGAGATCAGCCCACTGAGGGAGCTCAGGAGCGTCAGGAAACTGAGCACGCCACGCGTCATCTAGGCGAGAGAAGCAGCGCTGCGCAGTGTGCGCCCTCCCGCACGTCTGTCCCTTGCGGCGACCAGTGCGGATGACGTACGTGCAGCTAAGGCTACCCCCCCCACCCCCGTGCTGTAAGTACCACTCACGAAGCTCCTGGGAGGACTGAGGGTGCTGCGCGCTCTGGCCAGTGCCAGAGCCTCCACGACCACCACCGCCGCCTCCACCACGACCACCACCGCCTCTGCCGCCTCCACGTCCACTGCCGCCACCACCACCGCCCCCACCCCGGCCACCTCCGCCGCCGCTGCCTCCACCACCCCCACCGCTGCCACTAGCCCCTCCAGCCCCGCCACCACCCCCACCGCCGCCACCACCCCCACCACCGCCTCCCCCGCCGTCACCCCCACCGCCCTTGCCTCCCCTGCCCTTGCCGCTGCGGCGTCCGCTGGGAGCGGACGCAGAGCCGACCTGCTCAGCACCAAGGAGGTCGACAGCAGCAGCAGAGGCGACAGAGGGGAGTAGGGGGGAGGGGGAACACCCCTCGAAGAAAGGGGTGCGGGGGTCGCCACGAGAGGCACCTACAGCTACAATACTCTTCTCAGCTGCAAGTAGTTCCTTCTCTAGGGCGGTAATGGTGAGCTCAGTGGGGCAGCGAGCTAGGAAGTGGTCCCTGACTGTACGCAGAGTGTCAGGGAGGCGGGTGACTAGGTGGTAGAGAGTGAGCCAGAGCGGGGGAGGGTTGGAGGCAAGAAACTCAGCGGGCATGGCTGCACGGAAGCGGGCATCACTAGTGCGGAGGTGAGTGATGAGGTCAGCGACTGTCTGGAAGGCGGACAGGTCGGGGAACAGGTAGGGAAGCGAGAGGCGGCCTAGTGCAGCTGAGGCCGGGGAGGAGTAGCGCGCAACTACAGCAGTGTACAGGGCGTGCGTAGTCTGATGCTGGCCAAAGTGCTCGCGCTCGTCTACTGGCAGGGAGTTGCGAATAGCAAAGCGGGCGTGGGCATCGCGAGTCTGCCACTGTGAGCGAGCAGTAGCAACAGCAGTAGTAGCAGGAGTAGGGACTGTGCCTAGTGCGTGATCGTACAGCGAGATATCCTCTCTGGCAGTGAGCTGGAGGAACAGATGCAGATCATCGAGCCAGGTCTCAAACTTAATCGGGCGGCCCTCAGTATCGAACGAGAGAACTGGAGGGCTAGCCATAGCTGAAGTAGCAGTAGCAGAAGTAGCAGTAGCAGTAGCAGCAGCAGCAGCAGTAGCAGCAGCAGTAGCAGTAGCAGTAGCAGTGGCAGTAGTAGTAGCAGTTCAGTACTGGTGCTGCTGCTCAGGTAAGGAGGGCGCGGCTCGGCTAGGACGGCGCGGCTCGGCTAGGGCGGCGCGGCTCGGCTAGGGCGGCGCGGTTCGGGTCGGGTCGCGCAGCGCGGCTCGGCCGTAGAGGGGCGAGCGTAGGAGGGGCCGTGAGAGGCAAGCGCGGGGGGGCCGTTCGGGGGCCGGTCGGGGCTAGCGCGAGGCCATTCGGGGCTGTAGGAGGCTAGCGCGGGGCCTTAAGGGGCCGTGGGAGGCTAGCGCGGGGCCTGAAGGGGGCCGTGGGAGGCTAGCGCGGGGCCTGACGGGGCCGTGGGAGGCTAGCGCGGGGCCTGAAGGGGCCGTGGGAGGCTAGCGCGGGGCCTTACGGAGCCGTGGGAGGTTAGCGCGGGGGCCACACGGGGCCATTCGAGGCTAGCGCGGGGCCACGCGGGGCCGTTCGAGGCTAGCGCGGGGCCAATCGGGGCCGTAGGAGGCTAGCGCGGGGCCGTAGGTGGGCCGTTCGGGGCTAGCGCGGGGCCGTAGGGGGCCGTGAGAGGCTAGCGCGGGGCCGACGCGGGGCCTTAAGGGGCTAGCGCGGGGTCTTAAGACTGGGCCGTGAGAGGCCGTAAGGGGCGACGCGAGGGGCCGTGAGGGGCCTGAAGGGGCGACGCTAGGAACGAGGCGCACGAGGGCGCTAGGAAAAAGGCGGCGCACGAGGGCGCGGCTAGCGGAAACGGTGGGCCCTAACGTTCCGGTCCTAGGTGGAACCTAGGCTCGTAATACCATGTCAGAATGAGAAACAGGAATGGTTGTGACTAGCAGGAACAACAGTACAAATATGAAACCCTAATCTGGTGTACCCCCTAAGGTGTGACCCACTACAGCCTAGAACCACATAAACATATAATGTTTGACATTATAAGCGCATGCGCTTATATAATGGCAAATGCATAATTATGATTTAAAGCACCAAATTGTGCATCCTAGTGCAGTTGCATTTTTAATCAAATCGAAATGGGCATCAGAATCGCGCGAGGGCGATTTTCTGCCGGCGCACAGGGGCAAGGACACGTCAAGCTTGCCCCGGCCCAGTGTATGAGCCAATCACAGTCGCTCGCTCAGTGCACAGCACCCACGGCTGTGCTGTCAGTCAGCTTCGCCCCAGGCCAGCATATGAGCCACTCGCGTGCAGTCGCTCGCTCGCAGCGCACACGCTCGGTCCCTTTTTCCACCCACCCTCCCCCCCCCCCCCTTCGCCCCGAAAGGGCTGTCAGTCAACGGCTTCGCAAGGTTCCGCCTTTCGTGATCGAATCGCCCGTGCTCAAGAGAGTCAACCGAAGTACGGTAGAAATGGATGTGGGTGGACTCGCTGCAAAATAGGGAATTGTTACCGTTTTAATCATGATTTAAAATAAAAATTGTACATGCGCTTATAATAAATCAAGGTTTTACAGGGGGTGCGCTTATAATTGAGGATCGGCCATAAGCGCATTGCTCCAGATACAAGCGCATGCGCCTTTAATAGGCCTGCGCTTCTATCCGGGGCCATACGGTAAGGGCGGGTTGAACTGCCAGCAATTATGGCAGATCCAGAGATTTCCATTCCAAACCCAGGGCCGTACATTTCTAGCTTGGTGATAAGCAGCCCGCGAAAACATACGGTACTGCATTTTTTTAGAAACATACGGTCATGCAAATTGAGAATATCGTAACAAACTTGCATACTCAGCTAGTAATGTACTAAGACATTCACTACTTTTGGTTTAGTAATGTACCAAGTGTGATTTGCAGATGAAGTGTCATGCCATGTCGCTAGCCAAGGCAGTCGAGATTGCCAGTCAGCAACACCTTATCGATAAAATGTTGTCATCATGGATAAGGTCTATTTCTTCATCCAGGGTTTTGAGTGCCGTATACGCACTCTTCCTTTCTTCATTCTCCTCATCCACTTTCACCGCCGCACTCACCTCCTCCTTCCCCCCCACTTCGTTCTTAATCACCAGCAACTCATTTGCAACGTCCCCCATGGTTGGACGGCTTGCAGTGCGATCCACCGTGCAGGTGAGTGCGAGCTGGGTCAGGCGCAGCAGCACCTCCTCTGAGACTTCCACAGTGGGGTTCTTCAGGCAAGCCAGGTTGGAGCCCTTCAGGCACTCTTCCACCTGGAAGTGCAGCAGGTTGGAACGGGACCGGGAGGCGAGCGGTTGGGAGAGAAAAACACGAGGCAAATCAGATGCACAAGTGAGGGGGTTGGTAAGTAACCAATCCTCAAGGCAGGAACATCTGATGTTATTGAAATGCTAAGCTAGAAGCTCAAGTTAAATAATCTAGGTAGATGTTCAAACTTGGTAACTATTCAAGGTAGGAAGCAGAGGCCGGTGCAGCATGCGAATGAACCTTGGCACTTGGTGCAGGGTTCCTTTTGAGTCGACTCAAAAGTCACATTGACTGGACCTTGGCACGAGGTGTGGGGTTGCTGTTGTTGTGGTGGTGGTGGTGGTGGTGGTGGTGGTGGTGGTGGTGGTGGTGGTGGTGGTGGTGGTGGTGGTGGTGGTGGTGGTGGTGGTGGTGGTGGTGGTGGTGGTGGTGGTGGTGGTGGTGGTGGTGGTGGTGGTGGTGGTGGTGGTGGTGGTGGTGGTGGTGGTGGTGGTGGTGGTGGTGGTGGTGGTGGTGGTGGTGGTGGTGGTGGTGGTGGTGGTGGTGGTGGTGGTGGTGGTGGTGGTGGTGGCGGCCGCGGCGGCGGCGGCGGTGGCGGCGGCGGCGGCGGCTGTGGTGGTGGCGGTGGTGCTTACCCAATGTAGGATGTGCATCCTCTCCCTTCCAGGCTCAGCTATTGAAGAACGTCCCGTAAGCACCACGAGGATGAGCACTCCAAAGCTGAAGAGCATGGAGAGAGATAGGGAGAGAGAGAGAGAGAGAGAGAGAGAGAGAGAGAGAGAGAGAGAGAGAGAGAGAGAGAGAGAGAGAGAGAGAGAGAGAGAGAGAGAGAGATGTTGAGGCTACGATGCGAGGCTTGGTGTTGAGATGGTCATCATGCCATGGTTGAGACAAGGGGACAACATGACCGTAACGGATACACCAACCACCTTGATCTTATATGTATTCATTACAATCATAACATGAAAATGCTAACATGCAAATGCTTGGACTGAAGGGGCTAACAGCATTCCAAAACAAACTATCAGCACGAAATAACAAGCTGACCTATGCCAACTTACAAAAATCATCTAATTCTCCCGCAAGTACCTGTAAACATCAGTGGCCGTGGTTGCCTTATTTGTCCTCGTGTAAACAGGGTCCACATAGCCAGGTGTGCCCATCACTCGGGTAGAACCCACTGTCGTGCCCTCTCCCACCCTCACCAATCCAAAATCCGCAATCTTCGCCTGGGTAAGAGGAGTTCGTTACAACAAGGTTGAAAGATGATGAAGGTGTAACAAGTTGTTGAATTGGGTGGGAGTTGATTGATTGCGCACACAAATCACAGGATGACTCTACCCGAATTTCATGAAAAAAAATCAACATACCAAAGTGTTTAAAAATACTTGTGGTACCATAGGACAGGGACCTGAGCAGCTGACAGTTGCCTGTTTGCATTGACTAAAAGACGACTCAATAACCACCGGTGAAAAGCTGTTCGGAGCTTGCATGGATGTCTGTACGCTGTAATGGATGTGGACCATTTGATGTGGACAGGTTTAATGCTCGGAGCTTGCCTGCATGTCGGCGCTGATGAGGATGTTGGCGGGTTTGATGTCGCGATGCACGAAGCCAAAGCTGTGGAGATACTCCAAGCCACGCGCCGCCCCAATGAGGATGCCCAGCCATTGTGGCAGAGTCAGTGAGAATGGTGACTCTGCAGGAGGAAGGGAGCAATAGGCAGGTAGGAGTGAGCATTAGTCACGTGGCATTAGGCACATGGCATTACACACACGGTTATGGAATGTGCAACACACGCACGAGGGGCATCAAAAGTAGACTCACTTGTTGGATCCAGCCACTTCTCGAGGTTGCCGTTGGGTACAAACTCGTAGATGAGAACAGGCTCTGGCCGTGTCCTCATGTCGCCTCCCACAGCAAACCCAAGCAGCCGCACGATGTTGGGATGGTTCTTGTCGGCCATTTGCTGGATCTGCGGGGCGTTGTAGGGATGAGCAAGGGGCGAACACGAACACGTTCGTGGTTGCCCCTACACGAACACCTTCGTTTGCCGAACCGAACACTGTTCGGTTCGGCGAACACTTTGAGCAAAAAATGGTGTTCGCCGTTCGCCTGTGAAGGCGTGTTCGGGCGAACCTCGAACACTGTTCGTGTTCGTCGCGGGCAAATTTCAGCAGCGGCCCGAACACGAACGTGTTCGGGCGAACATCGAACACTGTTCGGCGAACAATTTAAGCCAAAAAATAATACCTGTTCGTTTTTTTGCTCAACCCTAGGGCGTTGAGAAGAGCATACACCATAGAAGAATAATTGGTATAACGTACAAATGTTAAGAGATGAACAAGCATGCAGTACCACAAACGCTGATAAGGGTTCGAGAAGCAGAATTTCTGATTGAGATGAAACATAACCCAACGGGTTGTGGTACAAATGTGGACATAGGAACTCACCGAGGCACTTGTTGTGTTACGTTTTATCTCAATCAGGAATTCTCCGTTGTGAAAGTAGTTGTGTCACCAAGTCACTCACCTCCCGTTGGAAGTCAGCATGTAACAGCTTGGCGCGTTTCACAGCCCACTCAGTGACACCATCGAGCGGAGATACCCCCTTGTACACATCGCCGAAGGCCCCTGATCCCAGCTGGTTGTCCTGAGACCAGTTGTTGGTGGCCGCTTCAACCTCAGCGAGAGAAAACTCCGGGCTGTGCAAGGCTGCCCAACTGCCAGCTATTGCTGCTAGTGGGATGTCTGGTGTGGGTGAGTCGTGAGGGTGAGCGGGGGGAAGTGAGGGTGAGAGGTGAGAGGTGAGGGGGTGAGCGGTGAGGGGTCAATAGACAATAGGCACACAGAAGATGCGATGAAAGCTCGCACGGCACTTGTCACCTTGGTTACCAGCGAACAAAAGCCGGTTACGAAAAGCATCATCTTCCTTGCCATCTGTTGATTAATGGACCGACTCAAAATCTTTACATCCTTTGGCTAAGTACCTACCACAGCACCCCCACCTGTTGCCTTCTGCTGCCGCTTGTGCCTGAGGTAACGCAACACAGCAGCCAGCAGCAGCAGAACCACCACCACCACAGCAGCAACAACAATGCCAATGATGCCCCCGAGTGATAATCCACTGCCCCCTCCAGAAGTTGCTGAGTCGGTCTGGCTGATGCTGATGCTGCTGCTGCTGTTGATGTTGCTACTGTTGGGGCTCGGTGCTGGTGGTGCCGCTGGGGTGGGGTATGGGGTGGCATTTGGTTGCGAGCACTCCAGAGAAACAAGCTTAGAAACTTCAAATGAGGTCAGGCTATCGGGAAAGGTTTGGGACGACAGTTGCAGCAAGCTCAAGAATGTCATGTCATTACTGAACTCAGGCAACTAAAAAAAACTCGGAATGGAAGAAGAAAGTGCGCCAATACTCCATCTGCTACTTCGTTTGGCATCTCCACAACTTTGCTACGTGAAACAGAGGTAGGCATGAGCAAACAGATGAACCCTTGTTTTGACCTGACCTGAACTGTTCAAGTTTGTTTCTTCTTCGTCTCCTTTTTTCATCGCGTTATATAATCAACTTGAACAGTTGAATGTTTGAGTCAAACATGTCTGGTTCAAACAGAACGTGTTTGACTTAACAAAATGTTCAAGCTGAACACATAGGTGTTCACCGCAATCCCGCGTAACTCAGGTTACGCGAGTCAGGGTTTTTTGGTCAAGTTGGAGAGCTTGCTTTTAAACTCAGGGTCTTTCCTAGCCTAACATCCCCACCCCCTGGCATGTGGGACCATTTCCACGGTATTAGTCTTGTAAACATGATGACATATTACCTCTGGAAAACGCTAGAGCCGCCCTACCTCCAAGCATCTTAGCAGATGTCGGGTCCAGTTTTTCACAGTGAAACATAATCCCTCCCATAGGCAAACTACTCTCAGATTTCCAACTGTAGGTTAAAGGTAGAACAACAACATTCTGGCATTGGATTTGGAGTTAGCTTTCCTGAAAATCATTCAGCAAACTGAGAGAGGCTTGCATCAATCTCTGGAGTTGCTATGCATACTTGGAGTTGCTCTGGAGAGAAAGAGCCACTCTCATCCACCAGCTGTGCACAACTTGCTTTGCTGCTGTGTGCCTTTTCTTCTTGATGCAATAAAGCACTTTCTGCTGGACAGTGGTGCACTGCGCTGCACTCACCTGTTGACTCCAGGCAGGTGGTGCAGAAGGAAGGGCACTTGCGACAGAAGGCTGTCTCGGCAATCTGCTGCTGGACACAGCTGGTGTAGTCGGCCGGACATGTGAGGCCGGTGCCCCAGGTGGTGCTGTCATGGAGAGGGTTGCAAACAAAAACAGCAAATATTAATTTTGGGTCGACTCAATCCTCAAGGGCTTCAGCACTCTGCTTTTGCACACAGCTGGTGTAGTTGGCCGGACATGTGAGGCTGGTGCCCCAGGTGGTGCTGCCATGAAAGGGGATGCGTAAGTGGCGCAAGAGGTGATTCTACAGGGAGGTAACGAAAATGAGAGGGATTTTTAATCAGAAACATATTCGCTGTGTTTGTCGATGCTGACGATGGCAAGGATCTGAAAAAACATATTCGACCGCAATCGCATGGTCACTTTCGTGTGCTAGGTAAGTGAATACATTAGAGGCTGCCAGAGTGAGAAAATTGTTACTAGACAGGATGCCAATCGTTCTACAGCTGGGCTAGATTTTGTCTACATTTCCGTCTGAACTCCGTCCTTCAAATGTTTCCTGACATGCTTTCTTCTACCACGCATACTTTCACACATGTTTCCCCACTCATGCCAAAAGGCAATTATTGCCACAGTCCTTGAGACGTCTTAAAACATGTTTCTCTGCAACTCCGAAGATGAGCAGAAAAGCTGACCAATCACGTGTTTCTCTATCTTTCAGCTCTGTCTCTCACACCAAGCCGCACGTCCCAAATGCACTGCAGCTGAGTTTGTATGCAGCGAATCCACTGTCAGCCTTATTTCAAGACCGAGGTTGTCTTGTCTTGCAGCATATTCCATTCCAAGCATTGGTCCACAGGCACACTTCCACACTTCAAGCACACAGTCCAAGCACAAGTACTTCCAGCTAACAAGCACTAGAATCTTACAATGTCTGCAGATCAAAAAGGTTTCCAATGGATGGTGGGATGGACCCCGAGAAATCGTTGTTGAAGAGGTTCCTGAATTTACACCAGCAAGCACAACACCAGGAGCAGTGACTCTGGACACGAACAATATGAGAGTAAAATCCTTATGCTGGTAGTGTTCTAAAGATGCGCGCGCATGATGCAAAGTCTGGATGGAATAGAATAGACTCTCTTAACGAATCTGACCCCACCAAGTGCAGTTGCAGGTCCCAAGCGCACAACAAAACAAAACCCGAAACGCCATGTTAGCATAGCAGCTTACAACTCTTGCAGGTATAGAAGGCTGTCGCCGATGGATGCTGGAATGGGCCCTGAGAGATTGTTGTCATGGAGATGCCTGAAGCCATGTAGGCATAAGCAACACCAGAGGTGCAGAAGGAATCAAGAATCCAACACTTTTCTACCACCATTGGGTTGGAAGCGCCACGTTATTGGTTCTTGATAATGCCCACACTATTGGGAGGCCAATATGTTGGATGGACCAGATGTTTAATC